GGCGTAGGGATATCTTGAGCCAAAAGTTAAACCCCTGTACAACTAGCTATGGATTATGGAGGTGGACCATGGGGCAGTGGTAGTGCTGGCAGCTATCTTGGCGGTGGTTGCTGGGGCGAATACAGGGATATATGTGGTAATAATGGGATGAATACTTCATGGATCCAGATTTGGTGAATAATCACCTATTAGGTGTTGCTGCATCAGTTTGAGGATTTATGGAGGGATAAGACAAGAAAGCTGTAGTGGAAATGATTGTGGCGTGTTTCATTTCGGATTATCATGTAAACTTATAAGTTTTGTGGCACTATGAGGTCACCATGTAGGGGTATGTATTTGATTAAGAAATGTGATGTGTATTTTGCGCCATTAATTGACAAAAGGCTGGGGTTTTCATGTTCTTTATATGCCAGTCGTTTGTTGAGTGTGGAATCTGCACTAAGATTTAGGTTAGAGTCTATCAAAACCATAAAGGTTAGGCGATTTTCTTGTTCTTTTGTGCCTGCTTATAGTTGCATTTTGGGTTGGTGACTGTTGATAAGATAAGTGAATTTGTAAAGATTCATTTTGTGGTCCAGCGCAAGATATAAAACTGTTAAATGCGGGACTGACTTAGTATTAATGTTAGTATTCTCATGTTTGTTATTTTATTTGCAGGTTATGGCGCAAGCCATTCGTTACCATCCCAAGGTTCCTGGGCTTTGGATGTATGCAGCAGCGTGGGAATTTGATCAGAACTTGAATGTTGCTGCAGCACGTGCACTTATGCAGAGTGGTCTCAGATCTTGTCCAGAATCTGAAGATATGTGGATTGAATATCTTCGCATGGAGCTTACCTACCTTAACAAGCTTAAGGCTCGAAAGGTAGCTCTTGGGGAGGATGTGAAGACACTGCAAAAAAGTACTGATGATTCGGGTCAGTGGAAAGAGGAGAACAAAGAATTGTTCATGTCACTTGATGAACAAGGTGACAGTCCCAAGGAGTCTGGCTTGGAGGATGTTGCTTTGGAGGACAAGGAAGATCTATTTTGGCAGCAAGGAGTGTTAATCATACGAACAATTTATCATGGTGCTATGGAAGCTCTTCCGTCAAGCTTAACCTTGAGGAAGAAAATTTTGGATATATTAAATAGTGTTGAGCTGGCACATTCTGAAGAGCTGAGGTTAGAGGTCATGGATGACCTGAAGAAAGATTTCTCTCATAATGAGGACTACTGGGATTGGCTCGCTAGGCTTCAGCTTAGTGACTCCACTAATTCCAGTACTTTGAATAAAAAGGAAGCTGTATTGAATAAGCTTAACAAATCAATTCAGGTGAAAAATTATGCCATCACTTTATTACTTATTCTCCATCACAAATTATCAATGGAAGTAAATCTTTTTGAATTCCTTCAGATGAAAAAGGCACATACTTGTTGATTAATGTACCTTGGTCATCTGTTCCTGTAATGAAATGCTTGCTGGATGGTAGTTTTGCCCATGTCTTGATTAGTGCTAAGTTGATGTTCATGGTAAGTAGTATCACTATATGCTTGTCATAAAAGTGTTGGTCAAAATTTGATATTTCAGCTGGACTTGTCCATACAGTAGATTGCTTACCCTATAGCTAGTAGCCCCTTAAGCTCAGCACAAACAGCGCCGATTTTGATACACCATCTCACAGTATTTTTTCCCAAGATATCAGTGTTACTGATTGTTCATTGAACACAATATTTTGAACGTTCTTAATACGTGTCTTTGATTCTAGGTGTATGATGAAGCTGTCAGAAAGTTGCCTACTTCCAAAATGTACTCCCTGTATGCAAACTTCTGGTTGGGTGTTGTATTCTCCGACAGAGAGGACTCCATCTCATTATTCCGTGATGCTGATTTTGATGCTTCAGAATTCACTTCAGCTATACTGCAAGTTTTTGAAAATGCTGAATCGTGTGGATGTCTCTCCGAGGATCTTGCCTGCCAGTATGTCTCACTTTGTTTGAAACTTGGAAGGTCGGAGGAAGCACCTGAAAGATTGGAGGAAGCTAAGAATCTCGCAGAAAAGCTCTGCAGTGGTCCTCTTTCACAGGCTGCAAATCTGTGGAACTTGAGAGCTTCTATAGAGATAAAGTCACTTGCTACTGCTACCGGCAGTGCTTCCTTTAGTGAGGAGAATCTAAGTTCTCTGTTTGATTTATTTAATATTGTACTTCCGAAGTTATCCATAACCAAGGCTGAGGGACTCTGGCATACGGTATGTCTAGCCTTATCTTGTGCTTTCCTAATGATCATGTCTCTCTAGTTTTCAGAAATTTATTCCGTTGTCTCTAGACCTATCCTACCAAAAAATTAACTTTTGCTCCTCTGTTCTAGACTTCTAGTGTGGATGTGTGATTATGGTTATGGATTTATTACTTTTATATCAACTTTAGTATGGCATATGCTCCTTGTCTTCTATTTCATTTGTCTCATTGATATGCATTTTACTTTCTATGTCAATATCTTACATATTGTTATACTGATTGGACTACTTGTCTGTAAATGTGATGAAATTGCTTGTAATTGCATTGCAGGCGATGAAATTGTTTTCTCATGAAAAGATATATTTCGAAAAGCTGGTGAAATGTGCAATGCTATCATTAAGTTCAGCTGGTGGGAGTGATTGTGGAGCTTCAGTCTCTTCAGCTTTTATCGGATGGGTTTTGCAGAAAGATGGTATTAAGCAAGCTAGGAAAATGTATAAGAGGTATGAAATTAATGGTCCTTCAGTGATACCATTTGCAATGCTAATGTTGAGTTGCCATGCTCATTACATGAGTGAAATGAGCAGAGCATTTCTAGCAATTTCTCAGTGTTTTGACATTGAGCCTAACATGCTATGAATTAACGGTTTTAGATTTTGTCATAAGTGCAGAGAGGTTCCTTCAGAAATATTTCTCGTACTTAGTTCAGATGTATTATCAGTCTTCATTGTCCCCTTTCATTACAATTAACTCATGCATTGGAGGTCTAACAGAGATGAGTTTAGTCGATATTTCGTTGTTGGGAGACCTAAGATCGGTTCATGCAGTGGGTTGTATGTGACATTGAGGGGGCATGTTTCTGACACTCACGCGTCCATGCAGATTTTTGGCTTTACCGCGCCCCAGTCTTAAGTTCTTCCAGTTCTGCATAGAGCTGGAAGCTAACCTTGCATCAATCGGAAACAATGATGGCCTTGTAAACGCGCGCAAGCTCTATGACTCAGCAATCAGCCTCTATCCACAAGAAAGGGAACTATGGAGGAAGTACTACAATATGGAGTTGACGGTATGGCTACATATTGGCAATTAGACTCTTTTTTCCTCGTTTACGTGCAGGTGGGAACATTTGAGACATTTGTATTATGTAAACAGGTGGGAACATCAGAAACATCAAATGCTATCTACTGGCGTGCCCGCAAGGTGCTCAATGACTCCACCGCGCTCGACATTCCCCGTAGTTAGCAACCTGTCCCCATATGTACCATGTAATACCATTTTTGATTGTATTGATTTGTCTGTTGCTATAGGCATATGTAAGTTAGACTTGACATAAGTTTTGGCTTTTCCTTTTTTGTCGGTCCGAAGAATTTTATGGGATGTTCTGAGTAAACTGGAATAGCTTGTGTTTGCGAAAACAGTCCACCACCTGTTTATCTACTACAAATTGTTGCGAGGGCAGCGATAAGGGCAGTTTCTGTTAATAGCGCTAGGAATCTGTGCTGTTAGTCTCAGCTAGAACAGAGGATTAGCATCTCCAAATTGCTTTGTTCTTGTGTGCATTTTTTGTGCTCATATTTTACTGCTGGACACTGAAGCAGCTAGTACTGTTCGTATTCACTTTTTCGTTAGACAGGGATGGTTCATCCTCTGTTCTGTTCGTATTCAATTCTTCTGACCCTACGAGATAGGACTCCACAATTACTCCGCAATTAAGCCTGCAACCTTTGCTTTCTCCAACCCATCACAACAATGGCTACTTCCACTGCAAAGCCCCACCTGCTCCTACTCCTCTTGGTCCAGCACCATGTACACCGCTGACACGTCCTCGCCGTCGCTCAACTCCTGGCCGTGCCGTCCTCCGCCGCCCGTTGCCGCCTCGTGCACCTACACTTCTACATGCACGACATCATCGGCGGGCCGGGGCAGACAGCGGTGCGGGTCGTCAGGGGCCAGGGCCCGCCGCACCCGTCCATGCCTGGGAGCTACTTCGGTGACACGGCGGTGATCGACGACCTCCTGACGGAGGGCCCTGGCCTGACGTCGAAGGCCGTCGGCCGGGCACAGGGCACGTACGTGCTAGCCGCCATGGACGTCCCCGTGCTGGCGGTGAGCGTGACGGTGGTGATCACCGAGGGGCAGTACAACGGGAGCACCCTTGTCATCGCCGGCCGCGACGACATCTCCCAGGAGGTGAGGGAGCTCGCGGTGGTCGGCGGGACGGGGCAGCTCCGGCGGGCTACCGGGCACGTGCTGTGGAGGACGGCCGAGGACGTGTCAGCGGTGTACATGGTGCTGGAGCTGGACGTGCACGCGACGGTACCGAACGGCGCTGCTGCTGGTCGTCGTCATGGATGGGGCTGGCCGGCCGCCGCCGTGGGCAGCAGGAACATGTCGGTCGGTTTGTCCGTTGATTCCTAGAACAAGTCTGCCATTGCCGCCACTTGTAAAACTCTCATCTCTCCCACAAAAATAAATACCGTACTGGTCTTGCCGGTTTTAGGATCAGTCGATCTGGGAGAGAACACAATGCGGTGCGTAGCTTTCAGGCCGTGGCCGAGTTAAAAACTTGCGCACCTCGCGTAGTACGTGATTAACTCGCTACTAGTACTTTTTTGTTACGCGTCAAGAACCTGAACATAGTAGAATTAAACTTCCATCTCAGCTTCTTGGACTTCTTTGTGCTGCACTCCCACCTGTGAGCAGCGAGCAGCCTAACCACAACTTGTCATTTCAGCTTCCCAGCCTAGCTGCTCTCAAATCACACGCTCAACGACACCGCCAATGGCCAGGCACCGCCTGCTCCTTGCCGCCGCCGTCGTTCTAGCCCTCGCCGCCGCATCCATCGCTGACGACGCGCGCCAGATTCTCCTACGCATGTACATGCACAACGTCTTCGGCCCGCCGGGCCAGAGGGTGGTGCTCATCGTCAAGGGCGCCGGCCCCATGAACCCGTCCATGCCGCCGGAGCACTACTTCGGTGAGACGTACGCGTTCGACGACTCCCTCACCCAGAACCGGAGCTCCTCGTCCAAGCAGGCAGGCCGTGCGCAGGGCACCGCCATGCTGGCGTCCATGCGGCACCCGGTGTACCTGGTGAACATGGTGATGCTGCTCACTGGCGGCGAGTACGACGGGAGCACCATCGTCGTGGAGGGCCGGCTCGACGCGTCCAAGAAGGAGAGGGAGCTGGCGGTGGTCGGCGGCACCGGGGAGTTCCGTCTGGCGTCCGGCTACGTCAACTGCACCACGGCAAGGGAGGAGAAGAAGTTCACCGTCTACGAGCTCAACGTCAACGCCACCATCCCCGGCGATGACAGCGAGCCAGAGCCTGATACGGGGAGGCGACGCCGACGAATCCCTCATTTCTGAGCCCACGCTAAAAATACTAATGGACGCGTGTAATACTTGATGGAAATCGTTAGCTTGGATTAATTCCTCGAATTGTTTGAGAGAACCGGCGATATCATGCATGCATGTTCGGTTCATGATGAAAGGGGCAGGGCCATTTTATCGCTCAAGCCTCAAATTATAGTGAACGGAGAGGCCTTGAATGACAAATATTTAGGACTGCCGGCCAATGTGGGTTTAGATAAAACCGATTGTTTCCAATACTTAATTGATCGTATTGTTCAGAGAATTAGTGGCTGGAAGGAAAAACTTCTGTCGGCTGGAGGAAAGGAGATCTTACTTAAAGCGGTTGTTCAAGCTATTCCCACCTATGCAATGTCGGTCTTTAAGATTTCTAATTTTTTTTGCAAAGGAATTATTGACGCGATGACGCATTTCTGGTAGGGAGATGAGGACAACCAAAGGAGGATGCATTGGATGGCTTGGTGGAAAATGTGTGTACCCAAGAACCAAGGAGGAATGGGTTTTCGGGATATCCATTGTTTCAATTTGGCTATGCTTGCTAAACAGGCTTGGCGTCTTCTCGAGAATCCGGATTCTCTATGTGCTACTATTTTGAGAGTCAAATACTATCCTGACGGTGACTTGTTGAACACTGACCTTAAGAAGGGATCTTCCTTCACCTGACAAAGTATTATGGCGGGTGTGAGCTCCCTGAAGCGTGGTCATATTTGGCGAGTGGGAAACGGGCAGAATATTGACATTTGGGAGGACGCATGGATTCGAAATTGTGCAAACCGTAAAATTGTTACCCCTAAGGGAGGCCAGTTGTTACGGAAGGTAGCAGATTTGATTGATCCAATCCTAAATAGTTGGGATGAAGATCTTCTCAGACAGACTCTATGGCCTATTGATGTTCAGCGAGTGCTTACGATCCCGATATCGCAACATGATATGCCAGATTTCATAGCTTGGAATTTCACAAAAAATGGGATTTTTTTGGTTCGGTCTGCTTATTTTGTGGAATGGGACCACCAATATGGGAACAAGTTACGACATACCAATGGGATGAGACGTACCACGGTCAATCCTATTTGGGCGAGGATTTGAAAGCTTGCTTGTCCAGCAAAGGTTAAAATATTTATTTGGCGTACACTTCACGGCACTATTCTGTGTCGTGTTAACTTAGCTAATAGACATGTGAAAGTCTCGCCTAAGTGTCCTGCCTGCTCATCTGGGCCAGAAGACACAAAACATTTGTTGTTTCTATGTGACAGAGCAAAAGAAGTCTGGAGAAGACTAGGGATGGACGATATTATCGACAGAGCTTGTAAAATAGACTATGCGGGTGAGGCAATCTTGGAATATTTACTTCCATTACCAGATTAGGAACTATGTATTATGGGCACTCGTAATGTGCGTGACATGATTGCCATATCAGCCTGGTACTTGTGGTGGGAAAGGCGCAAATTGGTACACAATGAGACTACTCAGAATGCACAACAGATATCCATGGGGATACGCGCTCTCGCTACCAATTTTGTTAATGCCTCCTCGCCGAAGGCTTCCATTAAAAGAGGAGGATGGTCTAATCCCCCGACGGGATTTGTTAAACTTAACGTTGATGCTTCTTTTGATCACGACCTTCTCAGGGGTATGATCGGGGCTATCTTAAGAGATGACAAAGGTAGGTTCATCGGTGGGGGAAATGGTAAGATTGACTGGTGTGCAGATGTGTTCATGGCTGAAGCTTTGGCGTTAAAATTTGGCCTATCGCTTGCGCAAAGGACGGGTTGTAATCGCATAATTATTAACTCGGATAATATGGAGGTGATCGAGACCATGAACGAAGGAGGACGATCGTCGGGGGCAGCAGCTGCAATTTTTGATGACTGTTTTCACTTAGCTTGCGATTTTCCTATTTCTAGATTCGAGCATTGTAATAGAGAAGCAAATAAAGTTGCTCATGAACTTGCCAAGTTGGCTAGATTTTCATTCATTTCTGATTGGTTGAGGAACCACATAGTGCAATTGTACCAATCCTCATAAACGATGTAATGATTATTTCTAATGAATAAAGCTCGAGCTTTCTTTCAAAAAAAATAATGAATGGAGGGGTCCTATTTTTGGGATTGGATTAAACAATTGTTGGATGTTTTTTTGAGGAAAGGAATCGGCCCAGCCCGAGAAAATTCTCAAACCTAACCCGACTTTGAACTAATATACTCCCTCCGTTCCTAAATATTTGTCTTTTTAGAGATTTGAAATGGTTACCACATACGGATGTATATAGACATATTTTAGAGTGTAGATTCACTCATTTTGCTCCGTATGTAGTCACTTGTTGAAATCTCTAGAAAGACAAATATTTAGGAACGGAGGGAGTAGCCATCAACCGGCTAGGATTACAACCAACAATATCACAAATAACATAGAAAAAGAGAGAGAAGAACGGGGATGCAACCCCAAAGGCCGGATACAAGGAGTAGAAGGAGAGCAACAAACTACTCCCTCTGTCTCATAAATAAGAACGTTTTTGACACTAGTGTAGTGTCAAAAACACTCTTATATTATGGGATCGAGGGAGTACAAAACTAGCATAAAGCTACATCTTTGAAGTCTTGACCATCAACGCTCCATACGAGGGAAAGGTGAAGGATCCGCTGGAGGACGTACTGGCCATTGTTTGCATCCACTATCTTCTCACCCTGGATCAGAGGGCACCTCACCATCGGTTAGGTGGAGAAGCTCAGAGAGAGCACGAAAGGACACAAGAGGCCCAACCAATGGTGTGCAACACCAAGCATGACCACCTCACCACAAGGAAAACCCAAGAAGGATCGCCACACCCACAACAAGAAGCATACAAATGGGCACATCAATAGGATGAAGTTGCCACCAAAGACACGGCCTGGAATATGAGAAACAAAGCCACATGACCAAGCCGGATCTCACCATGACCGCCAACTCACATCACCACCATCACATCATAGCTGTCGGAGAGGGGACCCTGATCCCCTTTCACCCAGGCTCGAGAGTGCCGCACCGTTGGACAAACTGGATCACATGGGGGGAATGAATAGAACCGCCTGAGGAAGACACCAGACTTGCCCGGAGCTATGTCGCCACTGAAGAACCACATACGGCCCACTACTAGGAACCATCCACACTCGCCCCGCACACCCTCCGTCTCAATGCCCCAGATGGCGCCTCCAAGGAGGTGACGACACCGTGGCGCTGCCACTGCCCATTCACGGGGAACTAGGGTTTCACTCGGGCACAGAGAAAGGAGGGACTAGGGGGAGTTGACCTCACTGTCACTACCAAGGAAGGGAATGATGCCCGTAACGCCATCGACGTCGTGGCTGCTGCTATGAGCCAGAGGTTTCCCCCGGATGAGCGCCCACCTCGGAACCCACCAGGCCAGACACCAACACCTCCGAGCGTGGACACCGGAGATCTGGACCAACCGATGGGGAGAACCGCGCGCTAGGATGGTGACAAAGCTAAACCCGACAGATCTCGGGTAGGGGGCCCTGAGCTGATGATCTTGGCACGATGGTAATAGGACGAAGAAGGGACACAATGTTTACCCATGCTCAGGCTCTCTCGAAGAGGTAAAACCCTACGTCCTGCTTTGATGTATTGATTATGGATAGGGTACAAAGTACATGTTGATCTACCTTGAGATTGTATGTGTGAATGAATATACCTGTATGCACTACAAAAAAATACACTTCCGTGATGATACGTGTTTGTCACAGTAGGTCGCATTTTTTGTCATGCATGTACATCCATGACGATTTTATGACAGAATCAAGATAGTCATACCTGTGCTGTCGTAGAAGTGTTCCATGACATTACCAAAATTATCATCACGGAAGTGTCCACTTCCATGACGATAAATCGCGCGTCACAGAAGTACTTTCGTCAAGGGTGACCGACACGTGGCATCCACCATAACAGAACGCCGTTAAGCTATCGGGTCGGGTTTTGGATCTGATAACCCGTTAACAGCCCCGACTAATGGGGATTTTCCACGTGTAAAATCATCATTGGCTGGAGGAAACACGTGTCGGCTCATCGTTGGGACAGATGTCATCCACTCATTGGACAGAAGGCGCCTATGATACGTCGACACATGGCACGGCCCAATAGTGGCCCATTCCTGTGAAAAGGCCGGCCTGTTTGACTTGGTCAAAAGGTGGCGGGCCGGCCCACGAAAAGCCTGTTAACGGCCTGTTCGCATATAGCCCATTTACAGCCCGCTAACCCAAGGCCCGTTACGCCCTATCCAAATTAGGCCCAGTAGCGTCATCTGGGCCATCCAATATGATTCCAGCCTGTTTTCACTTCCGGCCCATGTATGGCCCATGACGTCTTTCGGCCCATATGAGGCCCTTTGTAACTCTAGGCCCATTAGCGGCCCATGCTGAAACTGGCCCGTAATGAACGGTGTATCTCTTTACACCCATTAACGGCCTGTGGTGAAACAGGCCCGTAATGAACAGTGTATCACTTTATACCCATTAACGGTCCGTTATTCCGTTGGGCCGTTTCCAGCCCAAGTTAACTTTCGGCCTTCTGGGGGCCCATTTATTCTTGGGCTCATTTGCAGCATTCGGTTACTTACTACCCGTTACTGTCATTTTCTTCTTGTGGGCCAAATTCAGCTCGTCGTTACAGTCGGCCCGTTTGTGGACCGTTAATCTGTTGGGCCATTTTCATAGCATCACCAAATACGGTCTATTAACGGCCCGTTATGGTCAGCCCATAAAACATACGATTTCCATTAAAGGCCCGTCTACGGCCCATTAAAGGCCCGTACAAGACCCATAAATGAGTCGGCCCTTACAAGGCCCATGGATCCTACGAGACGTAGAAGGTCCATGGATCCTACGAGACGTAGAAGCCCATGGATCCCACGAGACGTAGAAGCCCATGGATCCGACGGCCCGTACATGGCCCATGGACCGTACGGCCCGTGAAGGGCCATGCTCGGGCGAGTTGGCCCCCGTTTG